TTTTTTTTTTTTTTTTTTTTCCTCCTGAGCTGTGCATCAAATGACTCAGCCAGGCTTCTCTTAAGCATTTTTCTGGAATGCTTACCATTATGGCTCAGACCAAACCAGGAAATGGGGAAGCCCCCAGGAGGAGGGATCTCCCAGGCAGAGCTCAGGGTGTGGAAGTGATTCAAGATGGAAACAGCGTGCCAGCTGGAAAACCCCAGGCTAAAATTAACAGCCCTCCTCCCCCTACGCCCCACATTTATCTCTAAAGCTCTTCTCTAAGGAGTTCAAAGCACTTAAAACTTGCTTCTTACAGCAAGGGCAGGAGCAAGGAATGACAGTTGGAGACACTGAGGCTCAGGGAGCACCGGTTAATGTAAACAGGAAAAGAAGAAGAGGAGAACTGGGACTGAGAGTGATCACCATTATTTTGTTCCCACTTCTCTATCTCAGCCTTCAAAGTCGACGTTTCTGGAATCAGCAATTTCTAACCCATGTAGCAACTAGGTCTGGTCACAGCTGAGCCCTTAAGATCTTATCCTGCCAACTGTTGCTACTCAGTTTAACATAAAATGAGTGCCCAAAAATGTGATCAAGAGAGTAGACACTTCCAAAAGGATACAAACTACAATTACAAACCAAAGAAACATATCTTCTATTTAAACATTTAACTTAACATCTTTAGGTGTCCTTTGCTAACTTCCTTGCTGTGACTTTGAAAAAAAATCACTTAAATCTTCACAATCTTATTTTCATTATCTGTAATGTGGACATTACAACTGTTTCTATTAGGGTTATTTCGCTTTCTAAGCAAGGAACTATTGCTGTCAATAGGAGGGACTTCAACTGCTGCAGTCAAAATAGAGCTCAGCCCAGGAGGATTCTGGTCAGATCAGGGTGCAGGCTGGAGGCAGCATTCATTTACTCAAATAGCATATATTTCTTCAGCATCTACTATGTTCTCAGCAAAACAGTGGGAAGGATACCATGTAGGAGACCGTTTCTTTCCTGAGGAGCTGACAAGCTTGCTGTAGAGTCCTATATACGAAATAGTTAAAAGAGTAACAAAAGGTACAAGACTAAATGCTGTGGAAATTCAGAGAAAGGGAACCATTTATACGTTCAAGCAATCCGGCAAGGCTTCCTTAAAGAGTTCATAGTAAGTGTTCATTTATGCGACGACAAACGTTTACTGACCACTCACTAAATGCCAGGCTCTGAGGATACAGCGGTGAACAATTCACAAGCCCTTGCCCTCACGGACTCGGATATTCCAACGGGAAGAGGTGGACAGCAAACAATATAATATCAGGTGGTGGCGAGTACAATATTTAAAAGTAAAGCAGCGTGAGGAGATAGAGACGTGGACGAAGGCAACAAGAACATAGAAACCCAAAGCCAGAGTACGTGATGTGGTCAGGGAGAGGTTACCAGTTACTCTTCGGGCCTAAGTAGGGACCTCAAGAAAACAGGTGACACATCCTTATCTTTTCCGGCATATTCAAAGCATGGAGACATTCTTAAGAGTGTAACAAAAAATAATGGTAACTTCCTATATCAGCCTATTCTACGCTGAAGGAAGGGAAACGGACCCAAAGTGTTTTAAGAATTCCTACGTCCTCTCGTACCTGATGCATAATTCATAAACCTGTCGGTTTCCACCCTCCCACTTCCCCAGAAGTCCCTTCCGGAAGCCCGGGACCGCAGTTCTGAAGGTTCAACTTCTGCCCTTAACGGAACCCGCCTTCGCTTCCGTTGTGACGTCACATCCACACAGGGCTCTACCGCGTCGCTGGGCAGAAGCCACTTCCGCCCTTACTAGTCGTAACTTCTGCCCTGAGGATTCCGCAGCGCGGGCAGCGCCGGATGTGCTCTGCCGCTCCCGGAAGTGACTCGACCTTTGCGTTTCCCCCCCCTTTTCCCATTGCCGCCCCCCCTGCATTGCCATTTCCCTCCCTCCCCCCCTTTTCGTTTCCGGCGCTCCCGCCTTCTCTCCGCCGCAGCTCTACTCTGAGCCCGTGGGGGGAGGGAGGGAGGGAGGGGGCGTGGAGGAATCGGGGTTCTCGGGAGCACGAGCTGCAGCACCACTTCCGGGTGAGTGTTAGGGGAGGGAGGGAGGGAGGGGGCCACCCACTGCCTCGCGCCCCCGCCCTGCGGGTGTCTCGCGCGCATTCCGTGCGTGTGAGTGTGTGGGTCTGTCTCGCGCTGAAAGTGCGTGCCCGCGCGCACCGCCTCGCGCTCCCCCCCTCCCCTCGCCCCCTGCTGGTCCTCCCGCCCCATTCGGCTCCCTCCTTTCCCAGCAAACGCCGCCCCTCCCGCGCTCTGGCTCAGGCTCTGGCGCCGCCGCAGCCGTCGCCGCCGGGTGAGTCTCGCGCCGCTGCTGCCGGCGCGCGCCAAGCTCTCTGCTCCTCCCCCCTCCCCTTTTCCTTGGGGGGGCGTGGAAGGGGGGGGGTCCTCGGTGTGACTGTATGTGTGTCCGTCCCGGAACCGGAAGTGGTTGTGGAGGAGCGGGCGATGGGGAGGAATGGGGGGGCTTAGGGGGCGGGTGTCTGTCTGGTGGGTGGCAGAGTTCAGCTCCCTGGAGGGGAAGGAGGGACGTCCCAAAGAAGGGTCTTTGAGGAAGGGGTGGGGGGCGACATCAGGAGGAGGCTCCCAGGGGCTGTCTCAGGGGAGCGAAGGTTTTCTGGGAACAGCTGGGGTCTTCAGTAGATAGACCACTGTGCAGGCTGAGGGAGGTACTTCTTGGCGCAAGGCCTTGGGTAGGCAGGGGCGAAGTCCTCGCAGAAGTGGGGGGGGAGGCCAGAGGAAGTGGCTGGGCCTGAACTGGCACTGTGCCTGACACAAGGGCTTGTGCATCCCCCTAGTCTTCAGTTTTGCCTTCTGAGCCAGTCCTCAGGGGCAGGGGCCCTTCTCTTCTTCCACCTCTTCTGTTCTCTGACCCCTGGTTACCTGTGGCCCTGTGGAACGAAGAAGAACCAGTGCCTGAGCCCAGGAGTGGAACCCAAGCACTGGTGATAGAGTTCATCTTAGTTCCTGAGAATTGGATTTATTTCCCTGTATCCACATAGTGGGTGGCACTACACTCCTTGTTATACGATTGCATCTTTGGATTGCTGGTTGGGGGTCCGCCTGCTTTCCAGACTAACTGCTGACAGTCCAAGAATTCCTGAGGTTCTTCGCAGTTCTCAGGTGGCTGCACCCTTACTGGCCCCTGTAACCCAGACAATTTGTTCACAGAAAGTTCAGGAGCCCTGGAAAGGAGAAGGAATAAGACGACAGGAGGAAGAGAGAGAGAGGGTAAGACAATTTTGGCTTAATGGCTTTTCTGGATTGGGGGGAGAAGGGGTCATGATTAAATGGGCTTCTTGGGGACACTGTGACAGAATTCTTCAAGTAATAGCAATTGTAATACTGGTGTTAGCTGGGAGAGAAAAATTATCTCCTGACAATACCCAGGAAGTTTTTGCGTAAAAAGCTAGCACTGTATCTCATCCATTCCCACTAGTACTCAGAAATGAATTATGAAATGCTCAAGTGAAATCACTAAGCGGGGTTACATTGTGTCCAGAGGAGAAATTTATTCTGCTTTGGGGACAAATGGGCCCCAGTCTCCAGTGTGGTCCTTGTCGTAAAGCTTACGGAATTGCTTTCCTGTATTTGGAACAAGCAGAGTTGAGTTTAGCGTGGAGTTCATATTCTCAATATCGCAGTGGAGTGCTTCGGGTGGCTCTGTTGAGTGGTTAGAATCTGTGACACAGGGTTATTTTAATTTGGTGTGTCAGGATGAAGTTTTCAGGAAAAAAAGAAACAAAAAACAAAAAACGTGGTTTGTGGGTAGTTTGAAGTAAAGTAGATAAAGTTGTATGGAGTGGACTCCAGAACTAGGTCTGCAAGAATTCAAAATATGAAGCTTGATGTGGATAGTGTGTTAGGTACTCTGAAAATGACAATGTTGAGACCCGAAAGAGTTTGAGTTCCAAGCTCATAGAAGTGTCTTCTAAGAACCGATTGCAGGCTGGTTTATAAAATTTATTTCCCATAGGTTTCTGAGCCAAGTTGATGATTAAATATTACGTGCATATCCCCTCTCGTCCAAACGCCCCGCCCCCTTTCCCCTGCCCACTTTATTTATTTATTTATTTATGGCCTCACATTTCCTGGATCCATCATTTATAATGGCATGGGCAGGACCAGGGGAACCACTGTGCCCTTCTTCCCACAGGGTACTGAGTACCATTGGTCCAGCAGTCCCCAGGATAGAAGTTGCTGGCTCAGACTGACAGCTGTGGGGTGGTAGTGGTCCTGTTGGTGTGTTTGGGATAAACCTGTTCTGGTTTATTTTGTACTTGGAAGAGTTCACAGGTAGTAGGAAGGCCCCAAGTTCTATTGGGATGGTCCTTCTTGAATGTCCTTAGAACTGGAGGAAAGAGATTTTGTTTCCTTACTGAGGCGGGGGGAAAGTCATTGTCTGTGTTTCTTCAAGTTGTTAGCTAATATTGCAGCCTATCTACAATTGTGCTTTTTGGGACACTTTTTCTCACTAGAGTGTCTGAGATCTCTGAGCCAAGTTCTTTCTGTAGTTGAATTTGAGCTGATTGTTCTTTGCATCTCTATTGTTTGTGCTTCTGGTTGATGATTACTAAGCTGTAGGCTATAGATCTGATACTTTTGGGTAGTACCTTTGTCATTATGTGGTTTTTATGTAATTGTCAGTGATTGTCACTGGTAGTGCTCATCACATGGAAGTATTTCTCTAACTCTCTTCCATTCAGGAACACTTTAAAGCATTTTATTTATCCCCCCCCCCCCTTTTTTTAAACTGCCTCCCATCACCATATACCTTAGGAATTTGTTTTAAGGGGTTTATTCTCCTCTATCCTCTACTCAGATAGAAACTTAGTAGAATGATAAATTATTCAGAGTCAAGCACTGATGTGGGACCTAGAATTAAATTCCAGAAGTCTTAGTTTCTAGGTTCATTCTCCAGCTACTACACTTGGTTGGCACGAGTCTTTTAAGATTTTGTAAAAGTTTGTTAAGAGAATATTGCTTTCCTGAGGAAATGCTGTGCTTTATTTGAAAAACAACAATTATAGAGAATGTAGTAAGTACCAGGAAAGAGATGGTGGTCTTAACCAGGTCTACCAAAAACCACATGCTGCAGGCAGTGACCTCTTTATTTCTGGATGGCGGGTGGCACTATGGAAGGGTGGACAGATGGACAAAGCTCTGGTGCAAGAGTTCAAGTCCTACTAAACGTTTCATGGGTGTTACTTAACGTCTTTTTTTCTGCACTTCATTGGTGCTTTTGAGATTTTGTCTGAGATTGGAAAAGAAATATGTAGTTCTCTGACCCTCTGAAAAAAAAAATACCATCCAACTTAATTGTAGTAAACCTTATATTAACAGAATAGTTGAGGTATAGTGCAATAGTAAAATTGAAATTAGAACTCAGATTTTTAATCTGCCAGCATTCTTTCTACTTATTCTTTCCTGTTTTTTGGGTCTATAATAAAAGACTTTCACTTCCTTCCCAATGTAGGGTAAACCAGTTCTTTTTATTATTATTAAAATGTTGGCATAATCATCAAAAGTGGCACTCTATGTAGAAATGAGATTTCCCTGTACTATCATTGGGCTTCTTCAGGTGTTAAGAATGTTGGTATATACCTGCTTGGATGTTGGGATGGTTTGGGGAGAGTTCCTCCATGAAAGATAGAAAGTTAAGAGGTTAATTGGTAAAGTGGACAGTAAACAGGTATTTGAGTGATCTGGCACCTGTTGCCCTGTTACACAACTCCAGGGGGCGCCATTTACATGGTATTCTGGCAAGAGCCTTCCTTCTTGGCTCTCCATTTGATATTTCAGGAATACAGAGATCTAAAGTCAGCCTTTTTAGAACAGTAGTATAGCATTTCTCAGATGTCACTTTGCAGGCAAATATTGCTTCTAGTTGGGTGAGCAGAACTTTCCATGTACCCTTCTTTTGGGTGGACATATTTATCAGAAGCCCACAAGGCACATTTATCATTTTGTCCTAGGACCAGCTGTGGTTTTCTGATCTTCGGTTTTGTTCTCTTAAGAACTAGAGCAGAGGGACAGACTGGGTATTCAGGGAAGCAGAGGAATCTTATTCAGTTTATCCCTCTGGATGGTCTGTTCTTTTTACTCTGATTCCATCATTAAGGTGTTTTGTTTTGTTTTTTCAATGTTTATTTATTTTTGAGAGAGAGAGAGTGCAAGCAGAGGAGGGGCAGAGAGAGAGGGAGACACAGAATCCACAGCAGGCTCCAGGCTCTGAGCTGTCAGCACAGAGCCCCACGCAGGGCTCAAATCCATGAACCACAAGATCTTGACCTGAGCTGAAGTTGGATGCTTAATCGACTGAGCCACCCAGACTCCTCCCGATTCCATCATTCTAAAATCAGTTATCTTAATGGCCAAGTGAAGTCTTACAGGTTGTGAACAGAAACTATCATCTTTAGCTACATTTTGCTCTTACCAAAATTCCACTTTTGGAAACATTTATAGAGAACTACATGGAAAATGTATAATCCATTCCTGGACGTGTTGTAAATTTTAATTGACGCATCAAGTCATAACATCAGAGAGTATGTACTTTAGTTGTAGGGTTTGGTCTCTTGTAGCACCCCCATTCTTAACTGGCTCTTTGGTATCTGCATTCAGATCTCTTCTCTGATATTTACTGTTTGACTCTATGACTTCAGTTTCTTCATTTGAAAAATGGGGATTACAGTACCTACTTCATAGAATTGCTGTGGTAATTAAATCATACAATAGTTGTAAAGTGCTTAGGACAGTGCCCTGAACACAATAAGCACTTAATAAATGTTGATGGTGATGTTGACCTTGTCCTGTCCTCCACATCACTTTGTATGTCCCCGTTATAAGAACCTGCAGGGTCTATTTCCCTCAGAAACTTTCTCCTGAGCCACTTGTAGGACAATATGAGTGGATGTAATCTTTTTTGGTGAGGAGGGGCGTTGTACACAGGAATTCTATCTGAAGATATTATTTTCAGGCTTTCAGTTCCTGCCTCCTAAATTTTCACATCTGTAATGTGTTTACTTCCTTGACTTTTTAGGGGGAAATTATAATTAGATCCTCCTTTCTTTATTCTCTAGCCTAATTCTCTACTTCATTTCCACCGTATGTCATGACTTTTCTGTATCATTTCTCTCAGCTCGAAGGTTAGACAGATGGGGGTTGTGGGTTATGGTTTGAGCCCCTAGCATTGTTTTCAAAATCTGTGTGTACAGAGTCCAGTGTCCTTCAGTTTACTAAATACAGAATTGCTTACTGGGTGATGAGTCCTATGTTCGAGACAATGGGTAGGTCCAAGATGTGATCTCTGCTTCCCAAAAAGCTTGGCAAGATTGGATCCCCTGAAACCGTGATTTGGTCATTTCTCTTTCAATGTTTATTTATTTATTTTTGAGAGACAGCGCACGTGTGCACACAGGGGAGGGGCAGAGAGAGAGGGAGACAGGATCTGAAGTGGGCTCTGTGCTGACAGCAGAGAGCCCAGTGAGGGGCTCGAACTCACAAACTGCAAGTCCATGACCTGAGCCAAAGTTTGATGCTTAACCAACTAAGCCACTCAGGCGCCCCTACCATTTCTTGATTTCTGTTGCCTAAGAAGGACCTGGGTTAATGCTGGAAGTTAATGCTAAAGTTAATGCTGGAAGGAAAAGGTTAGCACCTGTTTTGGAGACTGTTCTGATGTGTTTTATGAGTTGGGGAGCAGGATTTGTCTGGGGTTGATCCTCAAATCAGTTAATAATGAGCCTTGTTTGTGTGAAGTTGTAGTCAGATTTGATGCATTCCTCTCCTCTGCTACTTTTTAGGAAAGAGTAGGTTGAAATTCAGTAGTGCTTCCCTTTATAGGTTTTATGAACATTGAGAGTGCTGTTTAATAGAGCAAAACGTGTGATGAGATTTCTGGAGAAGGATGAGGAATGGGGTTACGTCTAGAGTGATGTCCGTTCTGTTTCTCCTCCTTTGTTACAGATCTTCCTTAGTTTCCTTAATCTACTTCTAACCTGTTTCTGTGTCCAGTGTACCCTCTAGCACTTAGTAGCTCTGGTATCTATCTGCCTCCAGAACATCCTCAGCAGGACCCCCCCATGGCTGTAAGCCACAGGTCCTTCTTTCCCACCTGAATCTTGGTTGCTTCTGGTTCGAAAAGCAGCATGACGATAATGTTTACTTCTTGCTGTTCGTCATTTCCCCATTCCATCAGTCTCTTACTCCCTCTTCACCTGCCTTCTGCTGGGCTGGATCCAGAATTTGGGGAAGCTGCTCTTGAATAACTGCAGTTAACATACGGTCTTGCTAGGAGAAGTGATCAGAGTGGGAAAATGAGCAGTGGGATGCCTAGGTTCTGTACCCATCATGATTCTGAGGATTACTTTTCTTGCTTATTCCTCACTCCCAAAGTTTTAGCTTAATTATCATCCACATACAGAGAAGAATTTGAACGCTTCGAGGCATCATGTGTGAGATATACAGAGCAGGAGTCTAGTACTGTGTATGTGTTTTGGTGCACTGTTGTCCCTATTCTGAATCCCTGTAGGTAGAGATGTGGGGCGCTGCTACTCCCGGCACTGGAACCCTCTTTTAAACTGGTAGTTCCAGGTTCTCACTGCTTGGCTTCGCATGTGTGGTACCCATTGTGGCACCGTGGGTGTTCTTGGACCTTGGTGGGATCAGTGGGGCATGGTCCCCAGGTAGCATCTGGTACTCAGAAAATATCTTGGTTGTGATTTCCTGCCAATTTTGCTCTTTAATTCCCCTGCGCATTTTGTGTTCCAGCCTAGCTGTGTAGAACGACAGGTATGTCAGTTGAAACTCTTTCCCAAGGAAGCTATGTTTGAAGGATAAAGGAAAAGAGCGGGGATAGGTACCCCGACTGTTTTTTAGCCAGTCAGTGATTTGCTTTGTGTGACCTTGGGTACATCCCTTCCCTGCTCATGCCTTCAGCTCCTCTTTTTGTCAGCAAAGAAAAGTAATACTGAGTCTCTTTCTAATGGGAGACATTCTGTGGTTAAGCGAGATGTGTTTAAGTTCTTCCACCAGCATCTTGAGAAGGATAGGCTCTGTTGGATTTCATGCTGAGTGGCTCTCTGGAACTAATATGGTAGATCCAGAGATCTTCACCGCAGATTCTCAGCCATGTGGTCAGGTCCTGAAGAGGAGGTCAGGAACTCCTCAGTGTCTTCTTCTCGGTTGCCAGGTTACTTCAGATTTATTCCTCACTATGATGTGATCTCTCTTTCTTTCTTCAGGTAGAATGGAAGAATCTCACTTCAATTCTAACCCGTACTTCTGGCCTTCTATCCCCACAGTCTCAGGACAGGTAGGTGGTGGTGGTGTTTTTCTCCTCCTTCCCTATCATGTACTTTTTTCAACTTTTGAGTAGTGAGTTCTAGTACTGTGGAGACTGAAGCAAGATAAATCACGTGCTGCTTCACCAGGTCCCCCACCATCGAGAACTCTAGCGTTTCTGTTTTGGCTTCTCTGGAAGCACAAAGATCTGAACTATTTACTCCTTGGAGGACGGACATTGTAAAGTGCTCGGGGAACAGACAAAATCAGGTTCTTTCTGAAGAGGCCGCTCGCCTCCCCTTTCCTTTTCTTTTAGATTGAGAACACGATGTTCATCAACAAGATGAAGGATCAGCTGCTGCCGGAGAAGGGCTGTGGGCTGGCTCCACCCCACTACCCCACCTTGCTGACAGTGCCTGCCTCCGTGTCCCTGCCCTCAGGCATCAGTATGGACACAGAGTCCAAGTCAGACCAGCTGACCCCACATAGCCAGGCGTCCGTTACCCAGAACATCACCGTGGTCCCTGTGCCGTCTACAGGACTGATGACTGCTGGTGAGCCACTCTGCTCTTCTCCAATCTGAGGTGTTGATCTTCCATGATCAGTACCCCAGGCTGGAGGGCTCCAAGGACATGGGGAGTGGGATATGTGTTTGATTACTCAATCACATTTTTATTAAGTGCCTACTGTGTGCCTAGCAATGTGCTAGGCATTGTGGGGGATACAAAGAAGTAGAAGATGCGGTCCCTGCCTTTGAGGAGGTGACATTCTTTCCTTCTCTGAATCAAGGAGTCTCCTGTTCTCAGAGGTGGAGAAGAGAAGGGAGTCAATCAAGGGGTAAATCTCACTGTTACTGGGGGTGGGGTGGGGACAGGGGTTAGGAGACCATTATTTTTCTACAGGGTTTGGGGTTTCCTATATACTCTGGGCTGGGGGGGCGGTGGTGAGGGGTTGATTAGACAATGATCTGGGGGGAAATTAAATAGGATTAGGATCAGGACTGGACAACATGACACCATCTCCTTTTTCTCCCAATCCTAGGTCCCGGTTTGGTAATCACGTCCCCCTCAGGCTCCCTTGTGACCACAGCCTCATCAGCTCAGACCTTCCCCATTTCGGCTCCCATGATTGTCTCAGCTCTTCCCCCTGGCTCACAAGCCCTGCAGGTGGTCCCTGACCTCTCCAAGAAGGTAGCATCAACCCTAACAGAGGAAGGAGGCGGAGGTGGTGGTGGAGGTGGCAATGTGGCTCCTAAGCCCCCTCGGGGCCGGAAGAAGAAGCGGATGCTGGAATCAGGGCTGCCTGAGATGAATGACCCTTATGTCCTCTCCCCTGAGGATGACGATGACCATCAGAAAGACGGCAAGACCTATAGGTAAGAGTCAGAGCCAGGGCAGTGAGGGGCAAGGATCACGGTCTCAGTTCACCTACCCCTTTGTGTCTTGCCCCGGATCAGGCTCCACGCCGACAGCTTTCCACCTCAGGTCCACTTGCATGTCAGGTGCTCTCTTGTGGGGGAGGAAAGTGGGGCTCTTAGCACTTCTCGAGTGACTCTTCCCCAGGATGCAGACCCATTTTACTCCTTCCCTTTTGGGGTAGTCAGCAGTGACTAATTTTTGAATGACATAATGGAGTTTCTTTCTTATGGTAAGGTGTTAGGCTGGCTTTCAGACTCTGTCTCCAGCTCCTTTTTGCTTTCTGCATTTTCCATTCCTATTTTTCTAAGAAACTTTTCTGAAAAGCCCCTGACCTTAACCTGTGTGCCATCCACTGGTTCTTGGGCCACATTTAAGCACTGACCCTGCATGGTGGGGATGATGGGAGGGGTCTCTATAAAAAGGTGGGAGGAATAAGATATCACCCTTTGGCCCTTGGAATATATGCTTATAAAGTGCCTGTTTTCTCACTTTCTAATTCATGAAAGTCATTTTGATTCTGGACTTCCCTTAAGTTGTCCATTGCCAAAAAGTGTTCTGTTTGCATGTGGTGCTATACGAAAATAATTACAGAGGTAGACTCCCCGCCCTTTGAAAGTTGCAAGTCTTTTAATCCCCTTGAGAACTATCAAGGGCCCTAGTGGGTTTGGGAAATTTGGTCCCGGTGTACAGAGTGGGATAACCACTGTCACAGCTTTGGTGCAGACAGGGGCAGATGTGCATGGCTGGGAGACTGGGTCTGTCCTTAGTGTACCGAGATGGGCAATGTTGTTCCCATTTTAGGAGCGAAGGGAACTGCGGCACAGGAAATGGACAGAGCCTTGGGCTCATGGATTCAGTTCCCGGCTCCACCACGAACTTGCTGTGTGACCCTGGGCAAGTCCTTTCCCCCTCTCTGGGCCTCAGTTTCCTCATCTGTAAAATGGGGAGAATTCTGTTTATGCCTCCCATTTGTTGGGAGTATATATCAGATAAGATTTGAAATGTTGGGAACTTCAGAAGAAAGAGATTAGAAATAGTTGTCATTTAGCGTTTATTTTTATTTCTGCTGTATACGTCTACTGTGGAGAGTAGCCACAACTACAGAGTGTTTAAGTTCTTCTTTGTAAGTGAAGAGGAGGGGAGTTGCTATGTAGAAAGTATTGAGCATTGCAGAATCCCAGCCCATAATCTGAAAGTTCATTGCAGCTTTATTATTACAGGTGTATTCCACCTTATACAATAAAAGTGTTCCTGGAAAATGTTTACATCATATCATTTTATAAAGGTACCTGACAAGTTTGATTCATTTAAAAGCATCTTCTATATATCATTTCATAAAATGAAAGTCCCTTTTATTTTATATAAATCCGGATTTTTATGTATTTGCTTAAAGTGAGGTCATTGTGACATGGAGATACACCTATATAAAGTGTGTCGTTGTAAGACTGATGGGCTAGGTCCCTGACATCCTATGCTGCTTTGCACATGGATCAGGGTCCTCTGATTCTGTCAAGGGTTTTTTTTGTTGTTGTTGTTTTGTGGTTTTTGTTTTTGTTTTTTTGCTTGCTTATTTTTTGGACCCACATTAAAGCTATTTCTGGACTTCCCAAAGTGTGTCTATGGGAAGAAATGTGAATATGCAATTGGAAGGAAGTCCTGGTAGCATTTTCTACACTCTCAGTGTATTGGGAAGTCTTGAGAGGCCCCACACCCAGGTGACTAAAGAAAACTGAAATTTAAGGGCGCCTAATTATATTCTAGGTGAATGGAATTTCTTCAGAAATTCAGAACTCTGAATTTTCAAAGCAGTCTTTTTAATCACAAAAAATCCCTATTTCCATGCATGTTTGAGTCAACCACATTCATTCCTGTGGTCAGTGACATTTGACTGAGTATTGTTGGACTAGGGTTCTATTAGTCTGGGCAAGTCAACTTATTTCTAGTTCTTTGTTCCCATCTGTAAAATGGGAAGCTCAGTCGTGGCCCCCATCTATCATGTGTGTGTTTTTGAGGGAAAATCAAGAGTATTTGAAATTATTTTTGAGTATCTTAGGGAAAAAATGGGATGGTAATTCAGTTGTTATTGTGAACAAGGTCATTGCACTGTGTGCTTCCAGAAGGGCCCCATTAGTATGTTGGATGTGAATGGTGCCCCCTGGAGTTGTGCACCTAGCTATAAGGGGTGGTAGCTTTTCTGCCTCCTGCTAACTGCCCACTGCCACAATACTCCTAAGTCAGATTTCTTTCCAGCTACCCAACACCTTGCATTAAAAGACTTGGACTCTTTTATCTGGCTTCATAGCATTTCAGAGTTGGAAATACTTTAATGGTCACCTAATCCAGTTCCTTCCCTGTAGTTGAGTCTTCTACACATTCCTGGCAGATGACAGTCTGCCTCTCCTTGAATACCTCTAGTGTGAGGAATCTTTAAAATTAGGTTAGAATCATAGCTTTGTAGTGAATAGCTGTTTGCCCTTTGGCAAATTACTTAACCTTTCTGAGCCTTCGTGTTCCTTTCTGTAAAACAGGGATAATGCTTGCTAGGCTGTTGTGAGGAGTGGAGACTGTGTTTAAAGTGCCTAACTGGTGTGGTGCCCTCGCAGTATCAGGCACAACAACAAATGGCAACTATGATTTTCATTACTCTGATCGTTGCTGTACCTTCTACCTTTCGAGAGGGCTTATTTTGTTGCTAGTCCGTTGTCTATGACTTTAAGTTTTGCGGATTCTTCTCTAGTTGAACTTTGATGAAGAGGGTTATTTTCTCTTTTATAGTTAATTTCATACTAAGGGTGCTGTTGTGTGTTCCACACTCACACACAAACTATGAGTTTGTGTTTGAGTTAAAACGGTACGTGTTGTTCCACTTGTCTGAGGAATTTTAGCAACCAAGGGAAATTATTTTGTATCTTCAGTACTGTTCCCCTCAAGTGACAATGTGTCCAGTTTCTGACTTCAGTGAAATGTATAGTAGCATGAGCTCATCCGTCAGCACTGGTATGTTAACATTAGTGCAATTGAATTATTAGAGAACACTTGGCTTACCTTTGTTCTGAATATTTGCTGGCCCTGGAGGCAGATATTTATCTCTCCATTTTACAGACCAGAAAATTGAGGTCTAGATTGATGAGCAAGCCTGTAATCGAACACTGAGTAGAGCCCAGGTGTCCAGACTAACATTGGCTGTGTCCTTTGGGCCATACTAACTATAAACAGAACCTCCCCACCACGCATATAATGGCTGGGCAAGCCAAACAACAGCCAAGGATTGGTAAACTGGGATTGGATTTCCTTCATAGTTACCAAGTGACCAGGGAAATAGAAATTGACCTTAACGATTGGAATTTTAGTAGAAACATTAATACAGGAGCCACACCTCCAAGTACCGTGATATTTTTTTTTTTCCTCTGAGGAATGCAGAGTTCTTTTTAGTCGTGATCTCAGTTATTTTCTAAAGATTTCTCCTGGGATCCGAAAAAAGCCGAAACCATCACTCTGCACCATCCCCAGCCCTGATTATAGGGAGAAGTTGAGGAGGAACCAAAGCAGAGGGACTTTTTCCCCAGTTGCCTGGCTTCCAGGTGCTGCCCTTTCTGCCAGCTCACACTGTGCACTGTGGGGTTGTTTAGGAATGAGAGCATTCCAGCTCACACACAGATAGCACTTCCTCGATAAAGGCTGAATAGTTGTGGCTTATCCTGCTCAGAGGCCTCCTTACTTGATGCTGTTGGGCAATGTCAGAACAGGAAGGATTACCAACCAGGTGATGGGGGAAAGTGTACCAGCTGCTGTTGATGTTATCCCCGAGTGCTGACTTGGGCTCCATGTGCTAGGGAAGAGGAAAGGTTTGGCATGGAAGCTCAGGGTTTCACAAATCTTTTCCTCCTCAGTGTTTGAGGGCTACAGCCCACTCCCAACAGCAACCTCAGCTCTTTGTAAAAGCGGTTCCCTCACTTTATCGCCAAGGGGCTCAGGGATGGTGGTGGTCGGTGGAACATCAGATGCACAGTGGAGGCCAGATGTATATGATTTGGAAAAGCCCCTTCCACGTAATCCTGATCCTTTTCCACCCCTATCCCTCTAGGAATCACTGGCAAAAAGGAAGTAGGAGAGAATCTGAGAGAAGACAATTATCTGAGGAGACAGGAGAGAAGCCCTTCTGGGGAATGTAGTCAGTTTGTCCTCATTATCGTCTCAGGAACTTGAGAGATACCTGAGAGATGTACTTTATGCATGGGAAGTTGGGGGAAGGAGCTCTCTTTTAAAGTCTGAAATAAAGTTACAGGCAGAAGGAAAACAGAAGTTAGCTGATATTGCTGGCCCGATGAAATCCGCATCAGCCTAGAGCCGATAATAAGATTTTCCTGTCTTTTCTGGTTGAATTCTTGTTTCCGTACACACTTAGGGAGTCCAGTCACTCAGCAGACATGTACTGAATATTTGTATTGTGTGGGTCTGTATTAGTTTAGTCTATAAAGAGGAGTAGAACAGATCCTCCCCTCAGGGGCCTTACAACATAGTTGTAGTAAGAAAGATCAGATAGGCTGGCTTCTGTGGAAGTGGAGGGAGGGTTCAGCAGTGCTCTGTCAGTGGGAAGGTTCTAACCGCTGCCCTCGCTTGGCCCAGGTGCCGGATGTGCTCACTGACATTCTACTCAAAGTCGGAGATGCAGATCCACTCCAAGTCACACACCGAGACCAAGCCCCACAAGTGCCCGCACTGCTCCAAGACCTTCGCCAACAGCTCCTACCTGGCCCAGCACATCCGTATCCACTCAGGGGCCAAGCCCTACAGTTGTAACTTCTGTGAGAAATCCTTCCGCCAGCTCTCCCACCTCCAGCAGCACACCCGGTAAGGCTGCTCTTGGTTTTATCCCGTCACCCGGCTGCAGACCCCTTACCCTAAGGCCACGTTGCCTGAGCCTTCTCTTCTGTCCTCGTGGTTTCTTTTTTCCCTTGTGACTTTGCCCTTTGGGAGCCTCAGTTCGCTCTCATTACTGTCTGTGAAAAATAAACTATGTATTTTAGCAGTTTGCAGGGGCCTGGGAAATTGTGGTCTCCAATCCCAAAGTCTGGAACGGTTTTTGTGGTTTCTCTCTTTGTCTGTTTGGAAATCTTCTGCAGAGCAGGCCCTGCTTATACTGTATGCTTCAGTTCAGAGCCAAGGTGTGCATTCAACTTCAGGTCCATGGGGAACAGGCGGTATTTGGTCTTTGTTGAAAGTACTGTTTGGAATCAGGGTATATGTGGTGAGTGTGTAAGCTTAGAACAAAGCAGAGGGCTGACAAGACTGAGACCGTTAAGGTTACCAGGAGCCAGGGGCCACGGCTCTGCATCACCTCACTGCCATTCTAGCCACCGACGTAAGATCAGCGGCGACCTAGATCTGGGTGTCCTCGCCATTAGCCTCTTCAGGCCGGAGTATGTTTGGGAGGAGGGAGGAGGGGGTGCTCTCATCCGTCAAGCAACATCATTTCACCCAGCAGAGAGCTGAGCCCGTGGTGTCGAACTGCTTCCTCCTCCCCCCTTCCCTCCTCTCCTCTCCTCTCCGGCAGGATCCACTCCAAGATGCACACGGAGACCATCAAGCCCCACAAGTGCCCGCACTGCTCCAAGACCTTCGCCAACACCTCCTACCTGGCCCAGCACCTCCGAATCCACTCGGGGGCCAAGCCCTACAACTGTTCCTACTGCCAGAAGGCCTTCCGCCAGCTCTCCCACCTCCAGCAGCACACACGGTAAGGGAGAGTGGCGGGCTACTGCCCCCGCCCCGCTGGCATGCCCTCCCCACCCCCGCCCCGGACACACACAACAACCCGCATGCGGGGGGCGGGGGAGAGACCTGGCCGGAGGAGCATACGACTGGCGCCTGGGAGAAGAAGAAACAACAACCCTGGAGTGGATGCTCGAGAGAACCTTTCTGGGGCACAAGCTGCGCTGGGGAGATGCAATGACTGTGTGACATGGGAGGAAGAGACTCAGCTGGAGCAGAGACAACTTCTGCCTTCATTTCTCTCCCCGAAAACACCAATACATACATGTTGCAAGATTTTCTCCTGGATGCCGAAGCAAGGGCATTTGGTTGGAGAAGACCATACCTCTAGCCCTTAGGGCACCATGTATGAACAGGAAATGTAATCAGATTTTTTTCGCTGGGTCTCAGCCTGGTGACACCTACGGCAATAAGCAAGGCTCTGAAGGATGCCAGGAATAGAGAACAGAACGAAACATGTCTGAAATGATCACAGAGAACCGGCAAATGAAATGAAAAAGCTCCTGCTTCATAAGGATGCCCACTGTTTGTCCCATGAATCTGGAGTGACTAGGAGGGAGTGAACCTGCCACCTGGAAGAGTTGATGACATCCTTCATCAGTATCTCAAGTTGAACTGCAATCCAAAACTCTTACTGGCCAGAGGCCTTCTCACCTGGCTGTTTCCGGATGTGGTGATCCCTCTCAAAGTGGTCAGATACCTTGTTTTGCGAAGAGGAGAAGTCGGGCTTTCCTCACAAGGAGACAGACTCGTCCTGTGATGTTTCCAAGATTTTATACTGGAGGTCCAGAAAAGCAGCTGGTCACAAAGATAGTTCTGAAGTCCCCGATAAGTAGCAGGTGTCTACGGACCCTCAAGTCCTTGGCTCATCTCAGTGGAGGGCCCTGTAGTGTTTGGGAAAGAGGTCAAATTGGTACTAAAGTAGGCATCTCCTGCCATTAGGGGGCTGGACTCGGAAAAGCCCCAAGGAGGTTCCATGAGTATTAATATCACTGCTGCTCTCCATAATTAGCATAACTCTGATGTTCTTTGACACCAGAACTTTTTCTGGGAGTGGTGCTCAAGGCTGAGGGCATAGCTTCTGGTTGTATTGTGGGGGCCAAGGAAGAAGTGTTCTGTGTTTCTTTTCAGTGTGTTCACCATATGTTTTTGAACATTCATCAGGGACAGCTACTATAGTCGCTGACTTGTATGCCAAATTAGGGACTGCCTATCTCTTGGCTGCCACGCTGCCGGTTCCTCCTCCCCCGGCAGAGGAGCCCAGCTTGAACTGAGTGATGGAGGCAGTGAGCAGAGATCAGGCACTATGGCGTGATCCGTGTCAGAGAGGAGCTGAGGCTGGGACCTCCTGGAAACCCAGCTTGAACTCCTGTAGGAGGGCAGGCGTGACCTTGAGGTTTGTGAAGGAACTGATCCCTGAGTGGCCTTGCTGACCTCCTTTCCCTTTCTTCTTTTCTCATCCTATGCAGAATCCACACCGGTGACAGACCATACAAATGTGCACACCCGGGCTGTGAGAAAGCCTTCACGCAGCTCTCCAATCTGCAGGTAAATGTTCCACCTTCCACATGAGGCCTTGTGTCTGACACTGGGCTCAAAGTGCTGTTTGACTAGTACAGTGGTTCCTGAACTTTTTCAGGACCTGTTTACACCCTTAATAATTATTGGGAAACCCAAAGAGTTTTTGTTGATGTGAGTACAGAGAATCTAAAACTGAAAAACTTGAAAGCATATTTAGTGACTAATTTAAAAATAACAAACCCATTGCATACTAACATTAACCTATTTCCAAACATATGCCCACTCCCCCCAAAATGGAAAGAATGGCATCGTTTTACACTTTGCATGTTTTTTAGTGTCTAGCTTACCAGAAGATGGCTACCTTCCTGCTGCATTCAGTCTTTGTGACATCACGCATTGTGTGATCTCTGTACAGTCATGAGAGAATGAGCATGAAAAGGCCAACATAGTCTTATTATCATTTTGAAAGCAGTTTTGACTTTGGGGGCCCTGTGGAAAAGTCTTGGTATTCCCTAGTGTCCCCTCCGCTTCGCTTTGGGAACCACCAGGCTGGTGGAGCCAGTATAGCCATCCTTCTCATTTTCCAGGATCCTGGAATGTGCTGCAGGAGATACATACACCTCTTCCCTTTGCCTGTAACTCCTCAAGTTTTACTGAGCAGCTTCCCAGGGCGCCTGGGTGGCTCAGTCGGTTTAGCATCTGACTTTGGCTCATGATCACACGGTTCCTGAATTCGAGCCCTGCATTGGGCTCTCTGCTGTCAGCACAGAGCCCGTTTCGGGTCCTCTGTTCTGCTTTGTCTGCACCTCCCCTGTTCACTCTTTTCCCTGAAAAAGAAACATTAAAAAAAAAAAAGGCAATTTGCATTGCCTTCCAATGGAAAGAGAATCTGGAAGGCTGACACCCAGCTCGGGGCTTTTCCATTAAGGTCACAGAGGCAGGAAGGAAGAGCCCAAGGTCCTCATCCTGATTCTTTCCCCATTTTCCCAGTCCCACAGGCGGCAGCACAACAAAGATAAACCCTTCAAGTGCCACAACTGTCACCGGGCGTACACGGACGCAGCCTCACTAGAGGTGCACCTATCTACGCATACGGTGAAGCATGCCAAGGTGTATACCTGCACTATCTGTAGTCGGGCATACACGTCGGTGAGTGCGCAGTGCCTTCCCTTTACTTCCCTCTGGGCCTGTGAGACCATGGTCCACTTCACCCCACCTCTCTGGATAAAGAGCTGTTGCCTTGAATATGCTTGCTCCCTAGCTCCCAACTTAACCAGAATCGATAAAGAGAACAGAAATGACACAGACATGTAGCTCGGGAATTGAGGGGGATGCCTGAGCTCTTAAGCCTATAGAGAAAGATTGCTAAGCAATGATTCTTTGTTTTGTTTTGTTTTGTTTTGTTTTGTTTTGTTTTGTTTTGTTTTTTTGGCTAAGCGGTGATTCTTAATTTTACTTAAATACAAGGCAAAATAATGCAACTTGCAACTTGCAGTTTTGGGAGAAAGATTTTTTAAATGGCTCCAGGAAAAGGTGGTAAAGTTGTTCCATTCAAAGATCTTTGAGAAAATGATGCTTTCCCTGTGCCAAGTGAATGCCCCCTGTGACTCCAAAGGTCTCCCTCTCCTTTCTGCCCAGTATTGAACACTGAAAGAGGCTTCTGGAGAGAATTTGCCCGTGGCTCCAGAATGTCCCCGTATAAGTATGGCTCTATTTGAAGTAAAGTAAGAGCCCAGGATGCCAGTTATAAGTAACCTCTTTTCTTCTCTTTAATCCCTCAACTCTTTTTCACATCTCCTTCAGGAAACGTACCTTATGAAACATATGCGCAAACACAACCCTCCTGATCTCCAGCAACAAGTGCAGGCAGCAGCGGCGGCAGCGGCAGTGGCCCAGGCCCAGGCCCAGGCCCAGGCCCAGGCCCAGGCCCAGGCTCAGGCTCAAGCCCAAGCCCAGGCTCAAGCCCAGGCCTCCCAGGCATCGCAGCAGCAGCAGCAGCAACAGCAGCCACAGCCACCACACTTCCAGTCCCCTGGGGCAGCCCCCCAGGGTGGGGGTGGTGGGGACAGCAACCCCAACCCTCCACCCCAGTGTTCCTTTGACCTGACCCCCTATAAGACGGCGGAGCATCATAAGGACATCTGCCTCACTGTCACCACCAGCACCATCCAGGTGGAGCACCTGGCCAGCTCGTAGAGACCTGTGCTGCCACCCACTGGGAAGAGGGGAAAGAAGTTCTGGTCCCTTCTTTCTCCAACTTCTCTTGGTGGGAAAAGTCTTCTTCCTTGACAGGCCTTGCCTCCATCTCCTTGGGCCTCAGGCACGGCCTTCCTACACAGGATACCATGCTTATTCTCAACTCCTCTTCAAAAGGAATATCAGCCCTCCTGATTGGCAAAGGAATAAGGAGCTGGTAGTGTAATCCAACAGCCTCCCCTTCCAAGCATAGCTTTTCAAAATTGGGGGTTGGTGCTCAAGGGAGGGATTTGCTATGACCTCATAGAAACGTTTCCAGTGTGGGCACTTACCCTCTCGTTACCCTCATAATCCTCAAAAGTTGGGGCTGGTGGAAGACTAGAGGCTGGTCCTCCCAGATCTCTGAGAGAAGGGAGCCCTAAATGCAACCAGCCTCCTGTTCTATTCTTGCCTGCAAAAGAACGGAGGTTTCTCACACGCCCCGATGAGCGGGAGCCGTCTTCCCCTCGTGGTCTCACTTCACTTCCTACCTAATGCTGGAAGAGGGAGATCTCAGTGGGGGTCAGACCCCCTTTATTTGTAAGGGGCAAGGGCTGAGATGTGGTCCCCAAGGGGCCAGAGATCCCCAAAATGGTCGAGGGTGGCTTAGAAGTGTGGGTTATGGTTTTCCTTGGGGCCTCTCCCCTTCTCTGCCAGCCAAGGCCCTATACTCGGTCTCCCAGTCCCAAAGCCAGAGGAGCTGTGGGAGCTTTGTGTTCTTTATGAAAGCCCGAAACAAAGGGTGTTGCAGAGAAGGGAGAGTTCAGGGCAAACACAAGGACTGGACTTAGCTCCCTAGGTGCCACGGTCAATTGCCGGACACGGATTTATATATAAATATATATATAAATATATATATATACCCACTCATCACGGCCATCTTTGTTGTAACCATTTCTGTGTTTATAAATGCATTATCTCTCAGAATTTTCATATTTGATGTTTTGTTTATTTTTGTCTTTTTTGTTTTTCTCCACCCTGTCTTCTGGCCAACGGCATTTTTATTTCCTTTTGCCCTTTTTGTTTGTTTTTAAATCATGGCAGATTTCAGAGAAAAGACAAAATGAAAAAAAATCAGGAAATCAGTTGTTATAAAGCAATTTAAAATGAAGAAAAAAAAACTTATGTACAAACCAAGGGGTGTTTTTAGAACCTTGTATAGAAATAAATTCGTGTAAAAGGATCAGAGGCAGTGGAGCTACTGATGTGAGCGAGCATGGGAAGAAGCTATCTGGGGAGATGTTCAAGGACAGTACTAAGGATTTACACTAGAGTGTGTGTCTGTGAAGAGTGAATGCTGTGTGATGAGGCTCTGTGTGTGTGTCCCCTAATGTAAAAGGGCACAGCTTTGATAATTCAAGTGAAATCTTGCTTTATGAGAGTTTCTACATACAGATCCTGTCAAGGGGACTGTGATGCCTAAGTCTGTGACAGCAAGGTTTCAGTCATGTGTTAATAAAACCACGAAGCTCCCTGTCAAAGAAATGGAAGCATGTCCTCTTGAAAGGGCCTACACTCCTGCCTGAGCATCACTGGGCTCGGTTGTAATTCCAACTGGCAATGTGTGTACATACATATATCTATTATCCTATCCATATATGTAGGCTTGCAGTGGTGGAAGCCATAACCAGAACTGAGTAGCGAGGCAGGACAGTTGTAGTGCTGAGCAGAATGTGGTCAGGAAACCTGGACTTTCGCCTTGGCTTTACCGCCAACCGGTGTTGACTAAGAAGCTTCAGCTGTTAAGTAAAGGGATTGGACTAGATCACCTCCAAGATTCCGTTTTGAGAATTAAAAACCTTTAAGCACTGAAAAAGTTGTGACAAAGCGCCCAACACCTAACGGTGTGGCCGTCCTCTGTGTACGGCTGGGGAACTGCTCATTACCTGGTGGGATTTGTATAGTCAATGAATTGATGCCCACTTAAGTTTTGGGCTCGGCTAGTCTGTTGGGTGGACGTCCAAGATATCTCAATCTGTGGTGTGGCACTAATGAATGTATCCCATATGACAAAATATGTCCGTGTGTGTTAGCTTCCTGAATATTCCTTTTTTCCCCTGCTCTCACCAATTGCTGAAAATGCCCTGACCGTCCTATCTTCACCACAAGTATTAGAACCAGAATCTACTCTTTTTAAGGATTCATTCACACTCATTCGTAGCAGGAACTCTATGAGGTAGGTACTGTTATTCTCACAGAGAAGGACATAGGCACAGAGATTAAATTGCTTATCCAGGGACATGACAGAGTGGTCTTCTAGATCCAACTGCTGTATCTTACCACCTGCTCAGTAGTAAACCTGAGGTTTCACCTTACCCTTTTTCACATACTTGGTCTAAATTAGGTGGTTGAAAATCTGTATCATTAAAGCCCTGCCCTGCGGCATTGATAATTACCAAGAATTTGTGAGGGGTGACAATCTCCATAATGCGATTTTACTAACGCCACTATTAGGTTATGTGCTTTGAGTTGTCTCCCAGTGTGGTGGCAGTCTGTCGTGCACTGGATTGCTTTCCATTCTCATGGAGGATGAGTCCTCATGAGGAAGAGTCCTCATTCTGTAGCTGACTGGGACGACAGCTGTCATCTAACTGGCCCAGTTGTGAGTTCTGTGCCCCAATCCTTTCCAAATCGTGGTGTTAGTTAACATCATATATAAACGGGGG